CATTGCAGATTCACCGGCGGCTAGGGTAAAATCGGGCCTGGTCGGCCTCCTGCCAACCCCCTCGCCAGCCTTCAGCTGCCAAAATGACTAAGGCTCTGTCCCATTTACATAGGATCTGGGGATGGGTGAAAGGCAGGGTAAGACACTTCATCCAGTGGTTCATTCATGATTCTTTGCTTCCCAAGAAGCTGGGTCCACGTGCATGTCCCCAAAGCTCACTTTGTGTTGGGAGTGGGGTGCTCCCTTCCAGGGACCTCAGGGGCTCAGCTAGGGCAAACACATGGTTTCTACATCCCAAGCACAGCTCTGCCATGTGAAGCACGCCAGGACCTGGGGGTCTTTCCACCTCATCCCTGCGTCCCTGGCTGCCCAGGGCGGCTCTCTGGGATGAGTTCTGTCGCTACTGCGGGCTGACTGTTCCAGACACTCAGAGGAGGCTGCGGGGGCGGCTGGCGCACCAGGCACAGGCAGGCGTCTCGGGCCTGCCAGCGCCTGCCTTTTCTGGAAGCCCACGCAGGCAGCTTCCCTTGGTGTCAGGGACACATTTCCTGTTTAAAGAGAGCAACCTGTGCCTCTGCCGTAGGCTTGCTGAGCAAAGGCAGGACAAGACTGGTTTTGAGTGTCCTCTGATCAGGGCAAGAAGTATAGATACCCCTTGATGTAGTTTCAGAGGCAGGATAACCATCTTTAGGCTGCAGCCAGCTCCACCGGCTCAGTACTCGGCCCAGTTCAGTGTGGCTTTGAAAGGCGTGATGTGATTAGCTTAATCCCTGGGGTGTAGCTCTCACTGTGTATTGTGCAGAGCAAGGCTCAAATTAATTTGATTTTTCTAAGCTTACACTGATCTTTAATGGAAGAATGTTACTGCCATCCAGGAGGGTTGCTGGGCTCAGATGTAAAAGCTGGCACTGCACAATTGTGGCTATGTAAGAAGACGCCACTTCACACCAGAAGGTGTAGATTATTGCAACTGTTATCCAACAGATGGCAGTAAAGTGTCTTGAGGAGGGGATTCTTTTTTCTAATTCACACAAAGGTCCTGTATGGGCTAATGGTAGCTCTGATAGAATGCCAAAGAGAAATCAGTTCTAGGGGAAATTTTATAATATACCAAATGAGTCAATCACTAGGCAACTCTAGAGCTGGTCTGGGTGACGGTTGCTACAATCTATCACGAGGCTGTGTATCGCCCATGCTTGCTTACTTTTCCTTGGTAGGTACCGCTTCTTAGCCCTCTTTGAACTTGACCTTCATTTCTCATCTCTGTTCCTTGCTCACTGTCAGTCAGACTATGAACTAAAGACGATGGCCAAGGTGGCAGGATTGGTGCTGTCATCTGTCTTCACCTTTGGGAAGCCCCAGACCAGGTCCTTTTATTTATTAGAATCTGGGGACCTTGAGGCTTGCCTTGGCCACTCAACCCTGTAGAGGGGGAAAGCTAGACCTGCATATCCATGCTGCAAAAGATATGCTCCATCTTTTGCAGTATGGAGGAAGGAAACTGGTCACCCATCTGCAGAGTAGTCACTGATCAGGATGTATGTGGTTCCCTGTAGCAAGCAGCAGACTGCCTTGCTCCAGGCAGCTCCGTCCTCATTCTAGGCCCCCCAGAACAGAGCTTCCCACAGCTCCTGCCAGGAAAGACACACAGAACACTGTTGGGAAGCACATGGCCCAGGCCAAGAAGTGACAAACGGTGATCTGTGGGCCAAACTTAGCTTTCCACCTGCTTTGTGTGGACTACAAGTTACAAGTGGACTTCACATTTTTTAAATAATTGAAACAAAAAGGAGGATATTTGGTAAAACATAAGAATTCTAAAATTTAAATATCAGTGTCCATAAATAGTTTTATTGGGCCATAGTTGCATTCATTTGTTCACATAGTACTACCTACAGTTGCTTTGTGCTACACCAGTAGGGCTGAATCTTTGAGACATGACCAAGTTATCCATAAATCCCCAATTAGTTCCTATCTGGCATTTTATAGAACAAGTTTGCTGACCTCTGGCCGTGGGCCTGGAGGCCACAGAGTTTCCTGGGAAGAGCTCTGTATTCAAAGACAATAGACATGGCTAAGAGCCCTTCTTATATTGTTACAGTTTGTATCCCTAGCAACTCACCTGAGCTCGAGTTTCCTTATCTTTAAGTACAAAGTCAGCAGCACTGAGCCCTATATCATGTGGCCAAATGACTTCAAGAATAGGGAGATGGTTTGTAAACTTCAAGCACCTATATGAATGTTTAGTAACCTTTGCCTTAGAAGATGGCTCAACCATGGCATTTTTGGAGATGAAAAGTGGCTTTTCCCACCCAGGGAAGCCTTATAGTCCTTTTTGTTTTTCATTATTTCTTTCTCCATTTCCATATTTATCCTTGCCTTTGGGCAGTGTGGTGGATTGATAACTGGTAGTCAATTTGTAATACCAGCTGAACTGAAGCAGCGTGGTACTGAGCATGGATGACCCACCTGAGGACTGTTGCCAAGATAAGGAGAACTGGAGAGGAAGAGTTAAGCACTGCAAGTTCTCCATGGTGTTGTTGGTTCTCCATGTGTTGTCATTGGCTCTCCTGGAGGAGCTTGTCAAGATTCTTTCCTGATATGAACTTGGCTGTTCTCATCATCAGAGGAGCTCAGTACACTGTTTTGCTCAGAAAGGCTGTGGTTCACTTTGGAGAAGCTCTAGATTTTACCACTTCCTGGCTTGAGTGGGGAAGATGGTATGCTGTTCAATCTCCAGGTTGTCATACTGGCCTCCTGATAGGGACTTAGCTGTTTTCATCGGAGGAACTTGGGACCTCATCATTGCTGAGGATGGCTGTGGTACTTTTTGCGGGAGCTCTGGTCTTTACTTTGAAGAACCCTCAGCCTTCTGGCACAGATCATTCCTCCCACTGGCACAGACTAACTTCCACTGCTGACCTTTGAGCCTTCACAACACAGATCCGTGAAACAGACTTGCATGAGTCATTGTCGTGGGCTCTATGCCTATATTGGACTCATGGAGGGCATTGTTATGGACTCTAGGTCTTCAGCTAAACTCTGCAGGAAATTGCCATGGGATTCAGGACCTCAGCTAGATTCTCTACATCTTTCGTGTGTAGACAGATTTCAAGTACTTTCTTTGTATTTGGGTGACCATTATAAATAATCTATAAATTAAGCATCCTGTATTATAATCCTTGTAATCCCTGGCTACTACATGCAGGTTTTTTCAGGATGGCCTGTCCTGTCCCCTCCCCTGGGATAAGTTCCATTTGCCAGCCCCAGTTCGTATGTGAACTTTTTGTCCCCTTACCAGTCTACAGATCTGAGTAGTAGGAGCAACATACAGAACACTATATGTGACCACATCTGCATTCACTGAAATTCAAGTGACAGGAAATGGGGATGGGGCAGGTTGGGAAAGTCTCTCAAGTTGCCTCATGTGGAAGGAAGACTCCATGCATTGCACTGAGTTTGCTAACAGTGAGAAAGTATTATGCTTTTATGTAGCCACATTCTTTGGTTCACACATTCACTTAATCATTATCTAGGGCTGGTCCTGGGCTTGGGGCCATTTTTTGGAAGTTGGTAACTTAATGTGGGGTTCCATTTCAGGAGGGAATTTGGGTGAAAAAAGGAAGTGGAAAAACTTTAAAAATCCTCATTGTCTAAACATGAGCCTTTTAAAGAACAGTTTTGTAGAGTGTGCCTGTCCACCTATATTACAGCTCTTGTCCCCTCCTCTGTTTGGTTAGTGGTGACCTAACACACAAGGAACCCGCTGTCCATACACCCAGCCATATAGGAATGCAGGACCACATCTTACCATCGAAAGTTCCACAGAGGCCAGAAGCCCATCTTTCCTTCTTCCTACCACACTTTGTACACTTGACTTCCTGATGTCTACCTCAGCCAGAAAGTTCTTCCCACCCCAACTCTGGTTTCTGCTCCCTGAACTTTGCCTGGCATCCAGATTTCCTCACTGTGGCTTGACGCTTTGCTTCTCTGAATTTTCCCATGATATAGATGTTGTATGTTTCCAAAGTTCTATGTAGGCTCTTGAGTCCCAAGACTCACTTGTAATGACTGAGGGCAGCTTCTTTGCCCTCTGAGATGGTTTTTGATAGCTGGGATTCCTCCTCAGCCAGAGAATCTGCCCTTCCTGGTCAAATGCTATGTAATTGCAAACTATAAAGGAGTCTTCCATTCCCATGTTCTCTCACAGCATTTTCTCTACAGTGCCCCTTCATGTGGCTGTATACTAAGGGCAATGCACACAGTAACTGCTTAGGTATCTCTAGAATGCCCAGTCACACAAACCTAGGTTTTGTCTTTATTTCCTAAAGCAGGCTTAAGATGGGAAGACCTGGACAAAATTTATCATGTTGTCAAGTTTACATTGAACTCCACCTCTGCAGAGGCCATTGTTAAGTCTGAGGTGTTTGAGGATTATAAAGAATTAGTTTCTGTTCAATGGATGGTGCAAAGACCCAGGAAGAAGATACAGGTCTTTAAAAGTTGCTGATTCCTAAGCATGTGTTTGCTAACCACTTTAGTCTGCACCATTTATAACCTTAACAAATCACATATGAATTTGATTTTCATTTGCAGATCAGTTTCCTCAGTGAATTTCTGCACTGTGGTGCAGCACAGGAAATGAATTAGAGAAAGCAAAGGAAAAGTGAAGAGCTCAGCCAAAGGCATTTTGATATTTTAGGGGAGCTATGATGGTAGGGTGGTTCAGGGTGGGCCCCTGCATCTGGGCAGACTCATGTATCCCCAGGTAAAAACAAAAGGTTTCCACTGCCTCTCACTTCTGTATGTATTACGTACGGCTTAGAAGTGACCGCTTAAAACCAATGTTGAGCGACTTGTTTCTTGCTTTGTTTTCAATGGTAATGATGGCTCATGCCTTGCAGAGAGGGAAAGGGAATGGTGTAGTAGCTACTTTGGGCCTTTGTTCTTCTCTCCTTAGGACCCTAAAGAGCCAAGGGCTTTCCCCTTCTTATTCACAGGTAACAAGTATGAAATCAAGGTGTATACCGGCGATGTACTGGGTGCAGGGACAGATGCTGATGTCTTCATCAATATCTTTGGTGAATATGGAGACACAGGTAATGAGAAATCTTTTCTTCACAAACCATGCCCAGCACTGTATCTTTGATGAACTAGCTCCCGCAATCCCATAAGAAGAAGAAAGTTTATTCCACCTTTGGCATTCTCTGTGGAGCTTCTCTCTTTTCATAAAGTTGTGTGTGTGTGTGTGTGTGTGTGTGTGTGTGTGTGTGTGTGTGTGTGTGTGGTGTGTTTTTTCAGAATAAAGGATGTCTAGTTTATGGGTTGATTAAAATTGCTCTGTATCCTAGACTATTAAAAAAAACCCACCATATTCCACATCTGCAGGGAATTCTTTCTTACTATCTTTATCTCTATAAGCTCTTTGCCTCTCTGAATTATGCTTTAAATTGTGGTTGACTGTGTCTGATTCAGTGCAGTGGTTGGAGGAAGACCAGAACGAAGCAAAGAAATAGAATTACACTTGATCTCACAAATGAAGCAGAAACTGAACCCAACATGGCTGCAGGTGGAAGTTCAGATCAGTAGGACTGAGACAGGTGGTTCTCTACTGCTTCAGCCAATTTAATTAAATAATACAGGAGTCAGAAAAGCAATAAGACCTGTGGATTTAGGATGTAATATATTAAAGAATTTAAAATGTATTGCTGAGCTTGTAAGGAATGAAAAAAAAAGAGAACTCTGAGTGCCAAAAATGAAGAAAGATCTCAAAACCAGAGTGTTAGCTATCAGTTGGTGCTGTGGCCCTTGGAAGGAGGGAGCTTTCATGCTCATCTTTGTAGAAGATGGGTTTTTATGCCTATTTGGATCAGGATATTAAACCTTGGCCCTGCATGAGGCAAGAGATTTGAAATTAGAACTGCAAAGAAAGCTGAAAGCCCTGAAGTTTCATAGCAAAATCTTCAGATAAAAAAAATACCGAGGAAAAATTCACCACCAGTGCCGTAAGCTTATCGCTGCAAGTTCTCTAAATTTAAAAAATTGTGAGAAATTGATACTTTACGCATATATCTCATTTATACCTGAAGTCTGATTTTTATAAAGTCTGATTTGAAAGTATCTTTCTCCAACTACAGAATATGGATTCCATGGCAGTAACAAATACTCTTGAGGACTTGGCAGAAGCTTAAGTGAGGCTACATGAAATCTCCACAGATAAAATATTGGAGAAAAATTTATTTTTTGAAACTACAAAACAAAAGGACACAATTCATCAGGACTAAGCATTGGTCAACACAACAAACAATAAGATTAAATCCTTAGGAATTCCATATAATGGAATAATAAGAGAAAGCCTGTAACTTCAGTTGCTTAAATCTATCAAATATATGAAAGAAGGAATTGAAGAAAATAAGGCTCAAATTTAAAAATATAATTCAACAGTAATACATGAAATGATAAGTAGTTATTAAAGATAAATGAGCAGTGGTTGAATTAAGCAACACAGAAGTAGCTGAATGCTAGATGCATGGTGGTGAAATCAAAAGCAAAAAGAAAATAAGATCTTGGGAAAAAAGCAGATTTAACAGATTATCTTTTGTAAAAACCAATTAGATTGATAGCAAATTACTATAACGACAAATAAAGCTCATAGTTCCATATAGCAAAATCTTTAATGTTCTTCAAAAGAATATAAATCAGCCTGTTATTCTACACCAGCTATGTTTTCACTCTAGAATGAGAGAAAACTTAACAAATTCCTAGAACCAACAAAAAGAAATAGTTTACCATTGTTAGACCTATGCCCAAACATCCATTGAAGGATATTCTTTTCAAAAGGGGGGGGGGAATTGTTCATAGAAAAAAGAAATGAGATGCAAGAAACAAAGGTGAATAGAAATTGGTAAAATATATAACAAATCTAAGCAAGAATTGACTGTATAAAACATATTAATGAGTAACTAACATAAGTAAGACAGAAAATACACCCCCATACTTAATTAAAATCAATAATATATGAAAAGTAAAGCAAATTATGAGAGTGAAAACATAGTAAGGTTGTTGTCCACAGACTATCTCTGTACTTCCAGAAGAATAAATGATTCAGTATAGACATTAATAAGTCAGGATTAATAAGTCACATATGAATATTAAAATTATAAAAGCAACCACTAAAAATAAAAGTAGTAAACCTATCAAATGGTAGGATGGATAAAAGGTAGCAAAGAATTGATCCAATAGAAAGATACGAGGAAAATAAAGCAAAGAACAGCAATGGCTAAAAACACAAAGTTAAGATAAATGTATCTATCGAAAACTATAAAAATAATAAAAGAACTACTAATGAAGTAATATTGCAGTCTACGTAAAAGACCTGAATTAACCCTAAATTAATTAATTAATTAATTAATACAGAAAATAATTTTGTAATTAAATTGTACATAATTTTTAATAAGAAACTTGATGTATTAAAATATAAAGAAATCTAGAGCCTTAAGAACAATAATATAGTTTTCTGTAACTAAAACTACAATTAAAAATATTTATGTGTATAATAATACATCATATTAGAAAACAATACATTTATTAGCATAAAAAGAAATTTGAAACCATAGAGGAAAATTCTAACTCAGCATCATTTAGCTAAACCACATATAATTCAGAATAGTTATACAAAATATATATGGTAAGCAAAATATGAGACAAAATTTATATAAATACAAATTGCAAAAAAATTCAATTTTAACATTTTAAAGGTAACATAACTTCAAGAGCAGTAAAAATATCCAAGGCAACAATATATCAGGAAAAATTAACAGGCAGAAACTAGTTGCATTATCTACCAATTTCCTGTACAACTAGAAAGTAGTCATACATAATTAATTCAAAGACCTGAAATTTTTAATTCCCAAATTTTTAATTTCCCAAGTTAACAAATATGTTGAGGAACAACTTTGTATCATAAAAAAAATCATTATAGTCAAAAAATATAAAAAGTACCAATAATTATAACAAACATATTAAAGTTAGAAAATACACATTGTCAGGTTAGATGAGAAGAATGAAATATGCAGCTTAAATATATGAATAGAAGGTTTGACAATATATAGAATGGAATAAAATATATTAGGAAAATATCCACATCAAGAAAGAAGAGGCTAATGTATGTTCATATTTGCCAAACTTTAAGGCAAGTCCCTTTGTTAGAAATAACCGTGTTAGATGGTGACAAAAGGAATAATGGCAAAAAAGAATAATACAATAATTATGAACTTAACAACATAGTCCCCAAATACAGGAAATCTTAAATAACAAAATTCTTGGAGTAACTTGATGAATATTGTATATAATTACAGTGAGAGATTTTATTAGAACAGCCTCCATAGTTGAGAAGTCAAATGAATAAAAATTTAGTATAAGCATATTTACCTAGTTAATAAGCTTGATCTGATGGAAGCATGTACATTACTGCATCCAGGTGGAAGAGAGTACAGTATATACTCTTTCCAAGCACCTAATAACCACTTGTAAAACCACAAAACAAATCTTAATCAACTTAAATGAGTTAATTACATAGAGGACAACATTCTTTGATCATAAGGTGGTAAAACTGAAAACTGTCCAATCTTGTAACATCTTTAGAAAGTTAAAAGCACATTTTTGAGTAATCAATCAAGGAAGAAATGATAGTGTGATTAATATGATAGAATGTTATGTCATCATCATCATTTGTAACAATTTATTGATGGAAACTGACAGGCAACAGCAATAGCAAGTGTGCAAATCTCTGGTCGCTGTCACATTCTAGTTCATCCCTGAAGGATTCTTTTTTTGTGTGTTGGGAATCAATCTCAGAGCCTTACACTTGCTTGGCAAGGCACTGTGCTGCTGAGTGTCCCCAGTCCCCATCCCTAAGGATCTTGCAGGGCAGGTTCCAGACATTGGAGAGAATTTACCATGGGGCTGTGCAGTTGTTAAACTGCACTGTTGAAGGTTTAGCCTCTTTCCTGGAATATTATATTTCAGCAGAAACATAACACTGGGGAATCTTGGCCTCCATTCATGTTTTCTATGTTAGAATTCATACTTGGGGAGCGCCAATCTCCCCAACCCCAAGCATGGTTAAAAAAAAGACTGGAGTCTGAACTTTGTGACTGTCACTATGTGATGTGGTCTGATCTTTCATCTCAGCATCCTAGTGTGACTGATTGTCTTAAGGGCTTAATTTAGACAGTTTCCAAGGAGATCAGTAATCATTAAAGAGATTACAGCAAGCAATTAAAATTCACCCAAGACATCAGACCCAGAAGTTTAAGCAAAATATACCAAATATTTTAAAAATAGTTGATTTCTGTCTCATACAGTTGTTTCAAAAAATTGGGAAAGAGGTAATTGAAACAGTTCATTTTATGAGGTTTGATACTTAAGTTGGGAAGTTACATTGAAAAAGAAATGTACATTTTAGCCTCATTTATGAACACAGAACCAAAAATCCTAAATAAAATGTTAGTATACTACATTTATAAGCAAATATATACACAAATAACAAATGACTTCTAATGTTTATTACAGAAATTTCATGATAATTTAACATTAGTGAATCTATTCATTTAACTTATGTCAGTAACAGATAAATGAAAAAATAGAATTATCTCAGAAATAGTCTAGCTGCTCATTACTTCTATTTATCACAATACTGAAAGCTACAAAGCCAGGAAAGAGAAATAAAAGGTAAGATCATCTTAAAATGAAGGAGAAAACTTCCATTTTTATAAAAAATGATCATCCACCAAACCCAACAGAATTTGTACACCATTAAAACCAATGAGAGATTTTAACAAAGGTGCTAGTTATAAGATTAATGTACAAAAATTAATAGAGCCAGAAATTAAAACATTTAATTATAAATATACTCTATACTATAACAATTATATAGTGCCTCAAATAGCTATATAAAAGAACTTTCAGGGAAAAGGATAAATTGTATCAAAGGACATGCAAGAATACATAAAAATAAATGGAGAAATACATTCATGGATGAAAAAGACCCTTCATTAAGATATCAAAATTTCCCAGGTTTTTCTACAAATGAATGCAGTTTCAGTTAGATTCTTTAAAGACAATACTTCACTGTTTAGCTGCTATTAAAATTTTCATATAACCATGATGGGCCTAATATTGCCAATATAATTTTGAATAATGAAAAATTGAACAATATTAATAAGATGGGGATATTTACCCTGTTAGATATGACATTACTGGTCTCTAATAAATAAAGCCATGTAATGTTGATAGAAGGTGAAACAAAATAGACCAGTAGAATAGAATTTAGAAACACATATAGAAATGGTATTATAAATTAGACACAAAAGATGAGATGTTTAGTTAATGGTGTTTGAATAATTGTCTAACCATTTGGGAAAAAATAAAATTAGATCCTTACCTTTTACTTTGCACAAAAATAACTGCCAGATGGGCTAAAGAGTTAAATGTGAAAAAGCAAAATTGTAAACTTTTTAGAAGAAATTTTAAGAGAATGTCTTTTATCTTAATTTAGGTGTAGCGTTTCTTTGGTTATAGTCTTTTTTGGGGGAAAGACTTGGAAATGAAACCAGGTCTTGGACTGAGCTATAGCCTCAGCTTTTAAAAAAATTTTTAATTTAAAAAATATTTTTAATCTCACTAGGTTGCTTAGTTTAGCCTCAAATGTTCAGTCTTCCTGTGACAGCTTCAGGATAGTGTTTCTTAAGCAAGTCACCAAAAGCACAAACAACAAAGGAAAATAGAGAATAAAATTCACTAAAATAAGAAAAATATTTGTACAATTAAAATACATCATAGACTAATGAAAGGCAATAAAAATGAAATAAAAGAGATAGAAAAGGAAAAATTATAAAAGAATATATATTCAGTGATATATATATATATATATATATATATATATATAAAACCATATGGATATATTCTCTCTCTCTCTCTCTCTCTCTCTCTCTCTCTCTTGATCTCTCTCCAAATAAACCAGGGAAACACAAGTTAAAGCCATAAAGAGATATCATTCTGCAGACACTGAATGAATGTTCTGCACACGCTGAATAAAAATTAGCAAGTACTGTTAATAATTATGGGCAGTGGGCATCCTTATGCTCACCTGGTAGAAATCAATGTAGGACATTGCTCTCACTTTGGAGGGCAGTTTTGACACACTTCACACACTGAAGATGTGCACACTCCAGGGCCCATCAACTCTGCTTACAGCTGTCGGCTCAGAGCAGCTCTTATGAATGTGCAGCAGGAAAAGGTACAAAAGAATTCATTTTCATGCTATTTGCAAGGGCAAAATGCAACAGCCTAAATGCCCAATGATAGACAGTGCTTTCTTTACTTGAAGACTATGATATGGCAGTTGGATGAATTTACTAAAGTTACTGGCATTGACAGGAAAATCTCAAAAGAATAATATTAATGTGGAAAAAAGCAACTTGTACAAAGGTTTGTGGTAATGATAAAGCGAACAATAAAACAACCCCAGCATCACTGCCATGGTGTCTGCCATGCTCCAGGGGCACCCCCAGTGATTCCTGTGCACTTCATGGCAAACTTAGAAGCAGGCACTGTTAACATAATTATTGTGCAGATGAGGAACCAGAGGTAGTGATATATGCGCTCTGATGTTATCTAGGTGAAATTCTGAAACAGTGCCAGATACAGTGCAAGGTACTGTATCTTCCTTATGGATCACATATATGAAAACTAAAATCCATGGCAAAGGTATGGACCAAGTTGAAGATAGTATTTATTTTGGGATAAGAGTAGGATGGAGATCTTAGGTGTATCTGTCATGATTTATTTCCCTGAAAAAAGAGGAAGGTCTCAAGAAGCAACTGGATAAAATGTTAACACCTATTATACCTCTTACATCTGGATGATGGGTACATGAAGGCCTGACATTGTTTTCTATTATTTTCTGTGTTTTAACTGTCACAATGTAAAATTTAAAAACAATTGAAAGAATCAAAAAATTAGTGCTTAGATGAGGTTGGGAGGATGAACCTGATTTTTACATACATAATCATGGAGACATGATGATGAAAAATTGAAGAGAGAAAGGATAGATTAAGAATCCAAACCTTTGTGCTTGTTATCCATGTGACTTTTGGCAAGTTATTTAACTTTTCTAAGTTTCTTCAGTTTCTTCATTTGCAAGACTGAGTTAATAGTATCTCCTTCTTGGATTGTGTTGAAAAATAAGTAAAAAAATTTTGTTAAACAACCAGCAGCAGCTGACAATAGTTATCAGCACTGTTTTCCAGAAAAGAAGCTCTAAGGAAATCTGTAACTGTGTCAGGGTCCCAGCCGCACCACTATGCCAACGACTGTGGTCATTTTCCTGATTCAGGACAAACAGCAATCAAAAGCAAGACCAGCTTTTGAGATAAGGGAACAAAATAGCTTTACTGAAATGAGGACTCTACATTAAGGAAGAAATCAGAAGCCCAACTATGGGACTTGGGCACCGACCACAGGCGAGGCTAACCTCAGCCTTGCCAGGAGCTGGGGGCACGTAAGGAGCCCTTAGATCTCAGCAAGAAGCTGCTCTTGACTTTGCAAGAGCTCTTTCCGTGGGTGGACCATTAAGGTTTCGAGTTGATTCTTTCTTCTCTTCTGGTCTTTTTGTGACTTTTTTGCATCTATGTGAACAGGGGAGCGTAGGCTGGAAAATGAAAAGGACAACTTTGAAAAGGGAGCTGAAGACAAGTTCATGTTGGATGCCCCAGATTTGGGGCAGCTGATCAAGATCAATGTGGGCCACAACAACAAAGGAGGGTCTGCTGGTTGGTTCCTGTCAAAGGTGGGTTCGGTTGCTTGTCTGTGGCTCCTGGGGTCTGAGAGCAGGATTTCTGGCTCTTCAGAAACATATCCCAGTCTACCACCTCTTCCAGGTCTGTCTGCCTCCTCTCTGCTGTCTAAATCCCCTGGCCAGCCGTGGTGCCCTCCTAATGGCCTCTGAGACATCACCCTTGTTAAGACCTTCCTAGAAAGCCCAGTTCTTTTTTCCTGACCCAACCAGGGCCTTGACACCTCTCAATGCTCCATCCTGAAGCTTTCTCTGATTCTGGCTCCCCAAATGCTCTGTCACTGTCTCTCTGTTTATCTGTCTCTCTGTCTCTCTCTGTCTCTCTCCCTGTTTGTGTGTGTGCACACTCACTCACCATTCCCTTCCCATGCAGATCAGACAGCTGCTCAATTGGGTTATGTAAAATTGGTGGAAGTTATTCCCATATTGAGGAGGGAGGTCTGTTAAATCACAGCTGGCTCTTGATATTGAGCTAAACCCATTGATTCCAAGACAGATAACGTATGTTCATGCAGATGCTTTGAGTTTGTTCTGAGAAAAAGTGAGGGCTTTGTGGCCCAGGATCATTTGGTGGTATTTGGGAGCCATCTGGGAAGAACATGGAGGAAATGACCCCTGTTTGACAGCTTCATTTTTCCTTTTCTTTTTTTGGGGACATTTTACCTTCTTGGCTTGTGATGGTATGTCCCTGCCACCACATAGTATAGTGGGCTCCACCATGGACAGGCCCCCCCTACTCTGGCATCAGTCTCACCTGCAGGGACTCACTTATCACTCAATTTCCTTCTCATATCTCAGAAGGCCAGCTCTGCTCATGGGCTTGTCAGTAGGGAGAAAATATTCCTCCAGAAAATAATGGCTCTTACCTTTAATAAGTCATTGTATATGTACACACAGACACACACAGGCACACACACAAACACCAAACTGTGTGTTTCTAACATTCATTATGAAGAGTGCTTCTATCTTTTCCAGTATTATCTTACATTATTTTACACCTGGATCTCCTTGGCACATTATGAGAGTCTTGCCTCCCCAGTTACTTGGTGCATTCTAGAAGATGCATTCACTCTCTTCTAGCAAGTTCACCTGGGAGACCCCTTGGGAAGCTGCACTGATGGCCAGTTTTACTTGCTTCAGTGTTAGTGGCCACTGTTTTTAGACCTGATCACCAGGTCCTATAATTCTCTCTGCCTGATTTGGGAGATGCAATTCCCCTTGTGTGGACTCTGTTTTTTATTAATAAGATCAGAAGCCCAATTTTCAGTAGGTGAGGAAAATGATCTCCTTTTCCCAGTTTACAAATCCTGGCTTTCCCAGGATCACATGGCACACTCTGCCACTATCCTTGGTCCAATTTGCACAAATTCTGTGCAGCAATGAAAGGAACTGCAGCTTTGGAACTCAAGTATACAGTAAGTGCCAGTAATCCTGGCATAGCTTTCGAGGCTTTCCTGGCAACAGCTGTGTCCTGTGATCAGCTGTCCTTGGCCCATGAGGGGATGAGAGTGTATTCTTAGAGTACACACAAGTGATTGGAGGGGCTGAATAGATGTCCAGGTGCACCCTTGTTGACACTTAATCATATTCCTTTCTTTCTTCTCCTTCCTAGATTGTCATTGAAGACATTGGGAACAAAAGGAAATATGACTTCCCCCTGAACCGCTGGCTGGCCTTGGATGAAGATGATGGAAAAATCCAAAGGGATATCTTAGTGGGTGGAGCTGAGACCACAGGTAGTGTGGAGACAGAGAGGCCCCAGTGGGTAATGCTATATTTTCTGTCTGAGGGTCAGTGTCCATTCTGTGGGTATAGAGGCCTGTAATCAAGGAGAATCCAGGACAGTCTGCAGACAGCATCTTTCCTGCTCCTGAAAATGAACTGTTTCCTATAGCCAGAACTCTACTGATGCCAGAGGAGCTGAGGTGAGAACCCAGAATGGACACTACCTTACCAGCCCAGAGGAAATCACCCATAGGAGAAAGCCAGAATTTGAACATGTAGGGTATGGATATATAAAGGTGTGGATTTACCTTTAACTCCCTAATTTCATGTACTTTCTCTATTTCAGACCCTCTCTTGGGACTTGGACCACTTATTTCCCTTCAATTCTCACTACACTATAATGTAGGAATTACATATCCCCCACCTCACAGGTAAAAAAACCCTGAGGCACACAGAAGTTAAAAAATGCTATCCAAGCTCATACAGCTGGTAAATGACATGTCCAGCATTTGGTATGCCCCTAAATTACCTCCATGAATCCCAGAGAAGTGTGACTGAGGTGATCATGGGTGGTAGAAGGGGAAATCCACATTGTGCATGGATTTGTGCAGAATGTACTCTACTGAGAAAACTCCAAGGCTTCCTTCTGCAGACAGACAGAGTCTAAGTTCTGTAGTGTTATATATAAATTGACCCATAACTTGGCTCCAGTTTATCCTATCAGCAAACTATTCCAACACTCTTTCTTAACACTTCCATTGCCCCTCCACCTCCCCCAACTGCATCTGCAAAAGCTTTTGCTCTTTCCCCTGCTTACACACTCTTCTCCTCCGTTGCATTCCTACACCTTTCCTCTCTCCCAGGCCCTCCCTTTGTCTCTTTTTGTCCTTGGAACTTACTTTCTGTGCAGCCTGTAATGTCATTTCTCTTTTTTCTGCTTCTCAATTTCTTTTTCCAGTTACTTCCTCATTTCTCCCTTATTTTGTTCCGTGCACCCCAGGCAGGCCTTTGCTTCTGCTGTTTAGGACAGTCAAAGCTCCTCTGGTATAGCAGGTTCCATCCTCAAGCTTGTGGAACCTTGGTCCACCCGTTCTTTGTAAAGAGGCACAAGTCATTGCAAAAAAAAATTTACAGCTTAAAAACACCCACTAGAATAGGTTTACTATGATCCACAACTGTATTACAGTTACATGTCTCCCACTGATGAAGGAAGAAATGACAGTAGCTGGGAATTGCTTGTAAGCCAAAGAATAGAGGACTATCTGGTGTGAGAACACCATCTGTGCATGTGCCTTAGAAAAATAAATTTTGAGGCCCACTTTTGTAGAGCAGTAGCCTTTTCTTTTTATCTTCCTGTGCTCCCAAAGACCTGGCATCTAGTAAGCAGTCAGTAAATGTTTGTTGAACAAAAGAAGGTATAAATGTATGAAAGAAAAATGCATCTCTGCGATTGGTGTCCCAAAAACATTTGGGATTTTTATTTCTCTGGGATCATGACATGAGGGTATGGGTTAGGTAGAATGACAAGGTCTAAAATGCCAGCTGCCCTAGACCCCAGGGCAAATACATGAATTCAGGGCAGAACTTAACAGTATTTCCCGTCTGAGTGTTTCCTTTTGGTGTTTCTTCTTATTCTGCTCCATTTAGGAGTTTAACTCTTCTTACTGGCTTTTCCCCAGGATTTCATGTCCTCACAATACCTCCTGCCCTCCCCCAAACCAGCCTAGTTTCCCTCCCTCATTCCTCTCACATGCACAATCAGGCAGCAAGGAAGGACAGGAGTGCCCTCTATCAACTTAAGTTTTTAAGTTATCAGCAAGCTAAATGAATTGTATAACACTGCATATAAATCTCCATGAATGGATTTGACTATCATAATTAGATTAGACATAACAGAATTCATCTGGCAGCTATTAATAATGTACACATGGTAATTAATATTAATAAAAGGAACTATTCTTAGCCAGCCCAAGTTCTTTCTCCTCTTTGTCAGCTTCCTGTAATCAGACTGGCAGACTCCTGCAATAATAGATGCAGTTTATTCTCAAACTAACAGACACTGACATACAAACTTTGAACGGATGAAATGAGGTCGTGAGGGGCTTTGGATGTGGTCTGATGTGGAGAAGGACATGAGGGGAAAGAAGATGGATATTTTGAAGATGAGGGTCCAGGGGGTGCTCTACCCATGAAAGGGACAAAGATTACTGTAATGCAGCTCACACTGAACTCTTTTCTCCCCATTTCCTCACCAGCTATTACTTATATTGTCACTGTCTTCACTGGGGATATGCGAGGAGCTGGGACCAAATCCAAAATCTACTTGGTTATGTATGGAGCCAGAGGGAAGAAAAACAGTGGAAAGATCTTCTTGGAGGGTGGTGTGTTTGACCGAGGCCGCACAGACATCTTTCACATCGAGCTGGCAGTGCTCCTCAGCCCTCTGAGTCGAGTCTCCATTGGACATGGAAACGTGGGTGTCAACAGAGGCTGGTACTGCGAGAAGGTAAGAGCGGCTTAGCACCAGCCTGCCCTGACTCAACCCCTGTTTAACCTGTGCAAACTCTAACCTGACTCCTGCTGTCCGCTTCCTCTGGCCAGCTGCAGGGCACAGGATAATCCCTTTCCTTGTCCACTGTGGGCACTATGGGTGGTAGCACATCCACGCCCCTGTCCTGTAGATGGCCAGGAATGGGGTCTTTCTTCAAACCTGGGTAGGTTATTAATTACTAGCAGTTTTTACTCAGCATTATGTATTACAGATTCACCCAAATGATAGCACTATTGTGTTACATTACTCAGTAATGCCTGCTTTTCTCTTGTTGAAACGTATTCCACCGTATGAATCAGTTATAATCTATCTGCTTATCGTGGAGGGCTATTTGAGGTTGTTTCTTAATTTTTACCCCTATGAACAATGCTGCCATGAAATTCTTGTGCCTATGTGCAAGGGGTTCATAGCATAGAAGTTCTAGGTCACAGGACAAGTGACTTTTCAGCTTTGCAATAAAGTTTTTTTTCCAAAATATTCGAGAGTGTTTTTCAAAATGGTTGCACCATCTTGTCAGCCATGTGTAAGAGACATGTTGGAATTTGTAATCTTTACCTTGAGGTTGCAAACTGATCTAAATGTGGCTTAAATTTTGTTTTTCTGAATACTGCTAAGGTTGAACATCTTTTTATTTCTTCTTTGGGCATTCATGCTTTTATGTAAAATGCCTGTTTATATCTTTCTCTCATTTTTCTATTGTCTGATATATTGTTGAATTTATTTTTGGAAGTTATTTAATTAATATAGAAATTAAACCTTATTGGTAGTATACATTCAAATATTTTCTTGTGATTTGCTTATAATATTCTCGGAGGAAGAGATTTAATCTAGAAGTTACCTAGTTTGTCAATCTTTTCCATTATGTTTAATGCTTTTTGTATTGTCAGAAGAAATATAGTTACTCTAAAGTTATAAATTACTTTCTTGTACCTTCTATGGCAAAGATTTTTACTTTTCCATTTACATTTTTACTGAGAATTTCTTTTTGATAGGAATCAAATTTTATTTTTTTCCATGTGGCTATTCAAATATTCCAACAACATTTATTAAAGGGCTTTTAAAAGTTGAGTAAAGAATCATTGGAAATTGTTAAAAAGTAGATTGCTTAGCACCAACCTATACTTACTGAATCCAATTTTCAGGGAATCTTTATATTAAACAGGTGCTAGATATTTCTAAGATCAAGGAAGTTTGGGGAACCCTGATTTCCAGAAGAGTAACTCTTGCCTCTGTCCTGAAAATATACTGCCTTTGTACTTTCTGGTCCATACCATTTTTTGATTTAGTTTATTTCTGCACTAATACAACACTTACCATTTTCATTTGAAATCTTCATACTAAGCTTTCATTTCTGCTAGGGGAAATTGACCCACCATAATCTTGGTTGAGAATGTGTTCACTATACATGACTATTTACCCCTCCATGAAAAATTTAGAATTTTCTTACCAAACCCATGAAAAAATGTGCTGAATAGTGTTCAATTGCATCAACGGATCCACTTGGTGAACTGACATTTTTAATGTATCAGTGTTCTTTATTGCTGAACATAGTACACTTCTTACAATTTCTATCTTCTTTAATGTTTTTAAATTCTAGTTTTAATATTTAAATTTACAATATTTAATTTAAAATATGGAATACATGTTTTTCTTCATAAAAGATATATTCAAAAAGACCATGGAACTTTTTTGCTGTTATAATTGGTATCTATATAAGCATACTTCCTAAATATTTACCGCTGATGTAGACATAGAAATATTTTCTATATATTGATTTTGTGTTATAAGCATCTTGCTAAACTGTGTTATTAATTTGGATAATTTCTCTTTAGATTGTTGGGGTTTTTCTTGGTAGACAATCATATTTTTAAAAAATTGCTTGATCACATGGTCTTAGACCTACATACTTGAAGTTGAAAAACTAATAGCGAGCATCTTTGTCTTCTTTCTGTTTCTTTACTCTTGTTACTAAGGACTGAGCTCAGGGCCTTTGTACTGAACTTCAGGAACTTCATCCTGTCCCCAGACCTTTCACATTGTTGTTATTTTGCTTAGTTTTGTTTGAGACAGGGTCTCACTATGTAGTTCAGGTTGGCCTTGGACTCACTTCGCCCAGGCTGGCCTCCAACTCATGGCTGTCCTGCTGCCTCAGCCTCTCTAATGCTGGGATTACGGGTGTGTGCCACCATATCTGATTGTTTGTTTGTTTGTTTGGAGACAATTGTTTCACTAAATTGCTGAGTTGCCCATGTGAGCTCAAACTTACAAGCCCCTTACCTCAGCCTTCCAGATTTCTGGTACTGTATGCATGTCTCCTTATGTTTCTGACGTGTGTGTGTGTGTGTGTGTGTGTGTGTGTGAGAGAGAGAGAGAGAGAGAGAGAGAGAGAGAGATTGGGATTGAACTGAACATCTAATATATGCTAAGTATGTGCTCTTCAGTTAAGCAATACTCACAATTCCTTTTAAAGGAATTGCTTTTTTTTGACAACCAGATTTTGCTGGTACATGTTAGATACATATAATGATCACATTCATCATACAGAATTTATATCTATACATGATATAGCTGAATTGTTTTTAATAGTTTTTTTAGTTAATTAGATTGGTTGAGTGGTTTGGGTAGGCATTATTAGATTGACTAAATAAATCCTCTTCTATTTTTGTATTGTTAAGAGTTTTCATTATGAGCGGGAATTGAATTCTATCTAATGCTTTTTCTGTGCTTAGTGAGATAGTCAGATGATCTTTCACTTGTTAGATGCATTGTGCAACTTTAATTTCCCTTTTGTTGACATATGTTGATTATACAAATTAATAGATCTCACGGTGACATCTCAATAATGCATATATGTACACTGATCTTGTCCACCTCTTTTCACTTCCCCCTCGCCAACCTCTTCCCAGGCCTTAGTAGTTCCTCTTCTACTTTCAGATATCCTTTTCTTGCTGTATAGGAGAAAAGACATGTGATACTTTGTCTTTCTGTGTCTGAGTTATTTTGGTCAACATGCTATCCCCACTTCAATCCTTTGTCCTGAAAATAAAAGAATTTCATTCTTCTTTTTGCCTGAATAATACTTTACGCTGTGTATATCCCATATTTTTATTATTCACTCCCTGCTAATGAACACCTTGACTGATTCTATATCTTGACTATTGTGGATAGTGCCACAATAAACATAGGTATGCAAGTGTCTCTTTTGTATGCTGTGTTATATCCTTAAGATATATACCCAGAAGTGGTGTTTATGGATTACATGACAGTTCTATTTTTAGGTTTTTTGTGGAAACTTTGTACTATTTTCCATAGTAGCTATACAAAGTTACACCCCCAATCTGCTATGTATAAAGCTTTTTTCTACAACTTCACCAGCATTTATTATTTTTTTGCAATTGTCATTCTAATTGAAGTGAGGTGGAATCTCAGTATAGTTTTGATTTACATTTTCCTGATAGCTAAATATGTTGAGCAGTTTTTCATGTATTTGTTGGCCATTTGTACTTTCTTTATCAATGTATGTTAGCAGCACGGAATAGTGATGTTCATTTTGGGGGACTGATACATGTATATCACAATCTTGATCATTATTACTCCTTTTATCCTCTCCCCCTTTCCTTCCTCCCTGTGGCCTTTCCTGTCTCCAAAAGTCATCCTGCTTGTTCCCTACCTTCTATCCCTTGTTTTATATACTAACCTATTTATAGTTTAGGTTTCCTATATGAAAGAAACCATGTGTTGTTTAACTTTCTTTGTGTGACTTATTTCATCTAGCATTATGGTCTCAAGTTCCATCCACTTCCCTGCAGATGACTTCATTCTTCTTTATGGATGATTAATATTCTATTGTGTATATACACCATCACTTTTTTTATGTTTATCTACTGATGGGCATTGAGGCTGTTTCCAACTACCATGAATTGTGCTGCTATACACATTAATCTTATGGCAGATGAATATCTGGTAAACATTTTCTCCCATTCTGTCTCTTCCCTCTGTTGATTCCCCCCCCCACTATGCAGGTGCTTGTTAATCTGACGTAACCCCATTTATTCATTCTTGTTTTTGTTTCCCAGTCTATTGGAGGCTTATCCAGGAAATTGTTTCCAGTACCAATATCTTGAAGTATTTCTCCTGTTTTAAATTTTAAAAATTTTATTTAGAATGTAGTGAAAACATAACAGAACAAGATAAAACAAAGCCAATCAAAACAATGTAGTGACATTGGAACAGAACTTCAAAACAGGATACTGGGATAGTAGTAACAGGTACCATAGTATATCTCGTTACATTCACAATAGTTGTCCAGTCAATTAGGAATAGTGAAATCAAACCAATAACAGATCATTATAAAACCAGTTGAAGGAGAGTATTTAATAGAGTATAACAATCATTACAAAACATCACAGTGAAAATAACCTTTGCCTTCAAACAGAACATAGAAGGAAATCCCCCTTATTTGCTATATTGCATATGGTCATCCTCCCAAGAGATGCTCAGAACTCTGTCCCCAGTTGCTGATGGAGGGAGGGCGGTACAGAGGGGGAGGGGTGTTTGATTCTCGGCCTGTGTGCAGGTAGGCTCACGGGAACAGCTGACTAGTTCTCCTCCCAGCAGGCACCAGGGGTGCTTACCAAGAGGCAAATTGCCTTCTTGTGCAGCCACCTAAGTCCCAGCATGTCTGGGTCTTGAGTAGCTGCTTCTGGTTCTCCTCCTGGCTGGCCCCAGGGGCGCTTAGCAAGAGGGTGGGCAATCCTGTTTTATTTATTTATTTATTTTTGGTTTCAAAGTTTCAGGTTTTATGTTAAAGCCTTTGATGCATTTGGTGTGCAATTGTGTAGCCTGTGAGTATCTGGTTTCTAGTTTTCCGAGCACTACTTGTTTATTGAAGAGATTGTCTTTTTTCCATTGCATACTTTTGGTACATTTGTATGATTTCATTTTCTAATGGATGA